ATTTAGTTTTTTGGACTATAAAACCAGTAAAACGTTCTGAATCCAGGGTTTTAGTCTTATTATCTTACATAGAATTAAATTCTGCGTCTTTTGATATATAAACAAAGTTTCTCAATTAAAACCATTAATTAAAAAAATTAATTTAATTTGAAAAAATTGAAAAGTCGGTTGAGAACTAATTATGAGATCAGCTGACGTAGTGGAAACATTGTATAAGATTGTCAATGAGTGAGATCGATAGAGCACAAAATTTTCTATCTTTCTACCTAGAAAAATTAGCTATTGAACCTCAGACAATGTGCTAAAAATCTAAAAAAATGAGACGACAAAAGTACGTCGCAGTTCGACAACTCAGCACTCTTCAATATTTTGAATGGTGCTAAAACGAGAAAAATGCTCTCAGAGATTTTAATAGTAGGTTTTGTAGAGCTTGAAATTCTCTATCTTTTGGTATGTAAAGGAACTTTTTATTTGAAGAGGAAGTACGAAAAAAATGCAGTAATATTTAGTCCAGTTTATTATGGTACACCCGTTAACATATTTCAACGTGCAATAGAAGAACATTCAACACGATAAATAGACGTATGATCGCATGATGAGTCATGATTTTTGATCTTTTTATTTTTTGTACTGTTTTATTTTCTGACCACAACTATAAACTATATTTTTGTAGTTCGATACCAAACAAAAAACACTCATGTGTCTTATTTAGAAAAATGTTTTGTCACTAGAGTTGTTTAACATGATATGATGTAAAAAATGGATAAATCACACAAGGCTAGAATACTGTACACTATGAACCTTGTTTTGCTTCTTCACCTTGAAACACGTAAGTAGGCATCTGAAAATTTTCAAGTTTTCTTAAGAAATAGAAAACATCGTTATAAATATTCTAGCGAAAATACAAGTGGTCCTTTTTACCTATGATTTGATTTCTCGTGTCAGATTATATTCTATGCTTTTTCTATGCTATTCGTGCATCTTGGTTGGATTAATTTAGCAAAACTTTTCAACTCGTCGATTTCGTTTTAAGATATGAATGACGAAAATTCGTTTTGTTATCGTTCAGTTCATAAAAAATTACTTGATGATATTGATATCGTTGTTAATTATTATGAAAATGATATATCAATTTTGATTCAATGGACATTTTCGAAACCGGATGTTCAAAAGTGGTTGTTTAATTATGTTGATGAAGAAAAAACGTTAGATATGAATACACCATTATTATTTTATATTTGTCAATCATCCACATCATCAAATATGGCATTTCATAAGAATTTTCTCTATTTAGATAATTCATTATTTCACATACTCTTCTCATATTTAATTGACTCAAAAAAAAATAGCACTAATAATCGTATTATACTTGTTTGTCTTCCAGATGGAAGAATATTAGCCTTGCCTGAGTATCCAATTAACCAAACACATCATGATTATTATATGTGGCATCAATTTCCATTGTCAAGTCAATGCATAACTATTACCGGTATATTATATTATGCAAATTTATTAGATGCTGTCCTATCAACAACAAACAGCACATCAGATCTTCCTCTTGATACACCAGTTAATCATCTTGTTTGTTGTGAAAAAAATGGTTCAATGGTGATATTTGCTTGTAATTTTGTTCGACGTGTATTATTAGATCGATCTATTTCTCATGCATGTACATACAAAGAACATCTCGTTTATATTACAGAAAATGATATAAGATATGTGTCCTATGGAGAATTATTGAAACCAAGTAATGATGATGTGATGAAAGCTTGTAAAACATTAAAAATAGGAAAATATAATCAAGTTCGAGTAGGTAAGAAAATTTTATCAGTTTTTATAACTATTGAAGAATAATAAGCGTCAATTTGCTCTAAGAATTATTGTACTGTACTCTGAATCTTCAAACTCAGAGTTTAGTTGAATTCTATCTTGAAAATAGAAAAATTCAATGAAAAAAAACGAAAAAGAAATAGGTACGTTATTGAATGAAAGAGTATGCCTATTCCTTCTCATCGCAATATATTAAACCTAATATTTTAAGTGGAATGTTCTCGTATAAGAATTTATTGCACTTATTTTGCACTTTTCGGTGTCTTTCCACAAAAAAGAGATTTTCTTGCGTTAAAAGACATTTTTGTTACACACGATTGCACAGTAGTTCTAGGATTGTGCAATGGTGTATAATTGGCGTTTTTTTTCGCAGATTTATGCGTTTAAAAGCAAACTTCCACTAGTGTATTGAAAGCGCGAAATGTTACATTAGATCATTTTTGATACGCAAGAATCGCACAGTTTTATTCGAAAACATTAGCGTTTATCAGCACTCAAATTCTTACATGAGTTATTGTGATAGATATTGCATGTTAGACCTATCAACTTAATATTTATCGCAAATTATTTGTAAAAATTCTTATGACGATTAATCGTAATGGATAAAAAAAAGCTGTTGTTCTCTATCACTGTGTAATGTTGTCGCATTTTACTATTTTCGATATTGCGATATATTTCCCTATATTTATCTGAAGTGCGATATACCTCTAGTCCTAAAAGTATGGCAAAGCGTTACGTTGTATCGGTGGTAAATTGATACTCTTCTTCTATCACAATAAATAGATATAAAAGATACATCGCGATCGTGACTCGACATGCATCGGTTTCGGATATTAATCGAAAACCGACTATCGGTTATAACCAAAAAAATTTTATGTTGTGCTTAGTTCTGATGGTTATTGTTCTACTTTTCGAAATTTGATCATACTGAAAACAGAATTACTGATTTTTCGCGCAGATGAAAAAATAGCTCTAATTAACATCGCTTAGAATTTATCTTTTCCCTTCTGTTATCATGTGACATATGTGCTGCATTTCTTTCGTTAGGTTATTGTTGTTCTTTCAAACGAAAATAACAAAGTAACCAGTGAAACAAGAACAATTACATTAAATGTCCCTTTGGACAATGTCCGTTTAATGCTCGGTTTAATCGAACCGATGTATACCTAATCGTGACACATCTAGATATCAAGTTTCAAGCTTAAATCACAATAAAATTCGAATGTTGATTCGTCACCGATGCGAAGTAACGCTTTGCCATATCAAAATACTTTCAGCGTTCTATTAGAGTGATCGTGACGTATCTCGCTAGATCTACCGATTTTGTGCTCATGAGGCGTAGCTTTCGCAAGGGGGTAAAAGCACCACTTCACCACTTCATTTCACTTCACTTCATCTAGGTAAAACGCTGCTGAAACGGTCGAAACAATAAAAAATCACTTCAAGTTCACTTCAAGTTAAGCGGAAGTGATGAAATGGTACTTTCCCTCCCTTGCTTGCCTCCCCCATCAGGGGCGCCGTTTCAGCAGTGAAGTGAAGTGAAGTGAAATGAAGTGGTGAAGTGGTGCTTTTACCCCCTTGAGCTTTCGTCTAGTAAAATAGTTCTTTTCTTGAAACTCTTGTCAGTTTGCTGCGCACATTGATTTATTAGATTCAGAGTGCATTTGTGTTTAGAGAAGTTGCAGTCCTAACTGTTGATAAAGGAAACTATAACACTTCTCTTTCATGTTTTTATCAATATTTTTGTTCATGGTATTTATAGACGGTCAAGATTTGATTGTTCGTTGTCGTAATGGACGATTTGAACGTCTAACAGACTTCATATCATCTTCGACCAATCTTCATGATTCAGTTTGTTCTATTAATTATTCAAATGATGAATTATTAAAGCAGATTGGTCATTTATTAAAGAAACTTGCTTGTCTCGTGACAACAATAGCTGATTTACAGACAAATTTTACTCTATTAGAACGTTCATTAAATAAAATTCAAGATTTTTTTAAAAAATTAAATGTTAACACATGTCTACAATTAAAAAGTGTTACAACAAATTCCAAAGAGAATTATGATAATATTATGTATCATTATGTTGAATTTCAATTATCCATGACTGATCGTCAATCTAAACTTCAACCAAATGATTTAATGTTACTTTTAATATGTCGATTATCAAATACACATGTACATCTATGTCAAACAATGGTAACCAGTTTTTCATCAATTAAATGTTCAATTCCAACAGTTACATGCCTATGTCAACCAATTTTAATGTTAAAACCATCTATTGTATACGGACATAAATTCATGGATAAAATTACATTATGTCAGATACTTAAACCAATATTATTATTTCCAAATGAAAAAATAACTCAGACATCATCACTTATGACCAATATATCAACTTTATCGTTTAGTACGAAAATAGAAAAGTATTTTCAACGACATTTCAATAATAAATTTAAATATTCAAATGAAAATCAAATAATAACAAAACATAAAATTGAATTAATTATGAAAAATGAATCAGCAATAAATTTTAAAAGTAAAATTTAGACTGTGAACATTTTTAATGTCATAAAGAAAATGAGATTCGGATTTGATTTAATACTTTAGTGATCGTATCTCATTCAATAATGTTCTATTTTTCTAACTTTAGAATCTCATGTTCAATTACCCAAACGTATCATCATTTGTGGAACGATCATTGAACTCGAATGCCATTACGAAGACAACAAAACAGAAATAGAAAATACTATGGTTGATACGTCAGCATATCGAATATTATTGTCTTGTTCTTCTCTGCATCGATTTTTAATTTATTTTTCTTCTTTAACTGAAGTAAGTTCATAGTTGAAACTGGTTTTTTTTAAGTGGCATTTTGTTATCGAATTTTAGATATTATCAGCAAATAATAATATTTCACAAAAATACCATGTTAAAAATGTTGATGTTTTACCAGTAGAATCATTGCTCAAGGTAAAATGAAATAATCATTTAGCAGAGTTTTTGAAACCACAGTTCTAACAATTAGAACGATTAACTTGAACAAACTTATAAAGCCAATTTTCCCATGAATAAAGGAGAGAAGTATTCATCTTTTGTACAATAGAGTCTTACGCCATTTTCTACATATGTCTTGCATTCGAGATTAACAATAGATGTTGATTTTATATCAAATTATTACATTGATGATACATTTAGGATGCACATAATTATTTATTGACAACGTCTCTTAGTTCAAGTCAAAAATTGTCAGATACATTGTCAGATACATTGATATTAAATTTGTTACAAATCAGAATCTATTTTGCACTCATTCGTCTTGGCTCGAATTTTACGGTAAAAATGTTCTAATCTACTTGTTGATTCTAAGTTTTTTGTGCAATAAAACGTCTATAATCTCTTATATTTGATCGAATAAATAAAAAGATATGATTCTTTATTTGTTCTTTTTGGTAGAGAACACAATTTTCTATAATTTCTCCCATGTATATCGAAGTAATTGAACAGTTGAAACTTATACTCAGAATTAATTTTTTCTTGTTTTATTTTTTACTTTACTATCACGTATCACCGACAGACGGACATCCAGGTGTGATAGTCCCTTTAAAATTCATAGTTAATTGATTGGTAGATGATAGTGACGTATGATGCTAATCATATCGAGCAATATAATATATTCAATAAAATAAAATTATCAAGTATCTAGAATAGGGATGCATCGATTCTGTTTTTCGCTGAAATACAGTGCCAGATTGAATAGATACTAGGTCTTATTGATTTCAAGCAGAACGGGCACGGATTTCCATCGATTATGATGAGTTCTTAGTTGAAGTCAGTACGTAGTTAATCTAGAAATCACGAGTGTTTGTCCGATTTTATCGTACAACTTGCTCGCTCATGCGCGAATGGGCATCATGCCCGATAACATCTTGTAGATCGATGATAGATGGATATCTATCTACAGTACAATGGTTAAGCAATTCAATAATTTCATCTGTTTTAATCAATTTTAACAAAAAACAATTTGTTTATTAAAAATGAACTTAATAAAAAATAAAAACTGACGAAAAAGTAAAGGATACGAAAGTAAACATCGTATAATAACCGCGAAAAAAATCATAGCTAAATGAAAATTTTTTCTAAAAACATCCTCCTATAAGGCGTAAAAAAACAAAAACGACAAAAAAGCACGATCACCATAAAGCTTGCAAAACTTGAATATGTACAAATAATCATTGATCATTTGAAGGATTTTGTAAAACGTACGTAATTATATATTCGGGATAAGCTTGCTCTCCTCGATAGACGACGTATTCTGGATAGGCTAGACCACCTTGCTGAGGGCGTCCAATAATACTATGATGTCCTGGTGGTGCGTGAGCAATTTTCATAGCATTAAATTGTAAAAATGAACGACCCAAACATACTCTACATAATAACATTTGTCTAAATAGTAATACACACCATTAATGTAGTCTACAAAAGAAAACAATTCTTACCTAGGACATCTATAACACGATTTATCTTTGTGTGTCGTACATCCACTCCCACCACCAATGCCGAACACGTATTGATTCGATTTTGATGAATTTTCAGCCTAAATTTAATTAACTATTAGCGTATGTAAATATATTGTTTTGGATAAACTTACAAAATAGATGCCAGCACCAAACATGCCCGCAATACAAGCATGTCGTTCATCAAAACCCTTGTTTATTATTGAGTTTAGAAATGGTGAACCATGAAATAATAAACGCTCATTTTCATGTCCATTATTATCATCTTGAATTTCCTTCTTTCTATGACAATAGCGTTCCCATAATCGGCGATTACGTATCTTTTGGATCTAATAATAGTAGAGATAGCAATAGATAATCAAAAGATGAGATACCAACTATGCTCTCTAAACATTGAAAAGTCGACTGAGGGAAACGGCGGCAACAACAGACAGTATTATATGATGTTCGTGACTCTGTTCTTGGCACAAACGATTACATGATAAAGAAAACATTTTAGTCAGGTTAAGGATACCGTTCGAACTTCTTGTCGAGTTACAGAATCGGAATGACTGATGGAAGAGAGTTTGAATTTTTATCAGAGCATCTCAAAAAATAAAATTGGCATAGTTTTTGCTCAGATCTTAGCAGTCTGGTAAGCTTAAAATTGTAGTTTTTTCAGCATAAGGTACCAGACATTAAAAAATTAATCTTTCCTCGTCGAGTTAGACGATGACTTTCTGTTTTGCTAAGTCCGATAAAAAAGAAATAGAGAGAAACCTCTCCTATCACTTCAGTTGCAATAGCACTAGTGAGCCTTTATTTTTGAGACGGGCAACGGTTTCTTGGTCGAGAATAGTATATAGTTTTTGTTTTCATTTTCGGTCTGAAGATAACCGTGAATATCGAAATATCATAATCAATAAAGGATATGAAATTCATAACGGCTGCGAAAATCATATTATTCTTGAGCCTCTATTATCATTGTAACATAGAATGAATCGACAAAACTGTGTAAAAATGTGCTCATTTTGATCTTTTTCCAAACTTGTACGAACAAATATATCTGAGAATACGTGACCAACTCGAAACAAAAAAGACAGTATGAAAGAAAAAAAATTCTGATGAAAAGCAATACATTTATTGTTTCTCTCAGTCGACTCGATTAAGTATATCTGTTTACAAAGTATTCTTATAATAGGATTACCTTCAAAACAGCATATCGATAAAAAATTCCTCCACAGCTATCTTTGTGTTCACGAATAGTACTCTGCATCTGAAAAGAATATGGATAATTAATTTTTATGTTGGTACAATATTTAAAACTTACTTCATCTTCTACCAGCATATATTCTCGATCGTTTGGTTCTAGATTTATAAATACGGAACCGTTGGTCGGTATACTTAACCATGGATTCTTGGCTTGTTTATACAATTTTTCTACGCCTTTGATTAATTTGTGTCGTTGTCCGTATGTGATAATTCCAATATCTTTCAATTCATTATGATTCATTTCAGCTAGTATATCTAGTGTGATGTGTTCATGTTCAAATATTTCTCGTATAGATTGCTGTTGTTCCAATGGTAAATTACATAAGCTTAAAAATTCATCCATTTTCATTGTCTCTGCTTCCTCTCTAAATTCATCATCCAATGTCAGACCCATACAGCCATCGCCACTTGGTAAATGATGTTGTTGATGATGATGACGAGGTATGGACGGTATCGAAACTACAATTGCCGAAGCACTGGCTTCCATACCCATTAAAGAATCTTCTCGTGATCCTAACGACGATACACTCAGCGATGTACTATTATTATTCATACTTCCAACATATAATGATGAATTATGTGATTGATTATTCGTCGCTGTTTTAGACAATATCGTTGGTGTTTGTGCAACCGGCATTGAATCTAATAACAGACATTTAACATCATCTGCAACGGCCAAGTCATAAGGTGTTTGATTTTCTTGGTTTCTTATCAGTGGATCTGCTCCATGAGCCAATAGTAATGCGCATAATTGCGTTCGTCTATATAAGCAACAATATTCAACGTTTAGATGCATGAATCTTCACAAGTAGATGATAACTGGGAAGTTAGGTCATTGTAAGACACTTCTAAATCTTGCTCTTATATAGAAAGTAAAAGGACGATATTTCCGTTTAGATTAGAATATGTTTTCAGCTTTATTAAAGAAATCGTTCCTGCTGTCCGAAAGTAGAATGTATGTGTCCGAAAATTAAGCAATACAGACGTACCCTTTTGATGCAGCTTCACTAAAAATGAAGAACACATTTGTAAAAAAAAACAGTTAACTTATGAAATTCACTAAACTCGCTTACTGTAACGGTGTAAAACTAAAAAAAGAAAAGGAAAACAGATGTTCAGTTGGACAAAGTAACATTTTTATTTTCCTACCCCCATCGATCTGTTGCGTTTACATTTGCATTGTATTTGATTAACAATGCAGATATATCCGCGTGGCCATATGACGCGGCATTATGAAGAGCTATTATTAATAAATAAAATAAAAAAACATCTACAAAGAACAACTAAACTTACATATTAAACCACCTTTGTCCTGTGAGTTTGGGTCTGCGCCATTTTCCAGAAGATATTCGCAAATCTCAATATTATTGTATCCAGCTGAAGGAAGAATCAATAAAATATTCACATAGCTCATTTCCTTGAGTATAAAAACATATTTTACCTGCAAGATGTAACGGTGTGGAATTTCGACCTTGCGTATCCCGACAGTTAACATTTTCAGATGTTAATACTTTTTTCAAACGTTCTAAATTTCCTTTTTTAGCCAATTCTAATATAGCACTATCACCTTTCAACAGATCAACTACATCACTGTCCGCATCTTTAACCAAATCAACAGGCAAACAACCATCACGATTTTTTTTCTGTGGATCCGCACCGTGCTGAAAGAAGGATTGAACTAACAAATTTAAGAGAATGTAGAAACATATATGCGTTACCTTTAATAATAATTTACAGATTTCAAATTTATTTTTGATTGCAGCTTCATGTAGTGGAGTATACCTGATTAAATCAAGAAAAATGTAAGAAGAATAGTTGATATGTTAAAAGTTTATAAATTACCTCCAGAGATCGACAGCATTCACAGACGCTCCATGATTAACAAGCAATTCTGTTACTTCAAAATGACCATATGAACAGCTGTTATGTAGTGCAACTAATCCTCCTAAAGTGAAAAAAACTAAAGGTTGAAAAAACGAACTACATGCACACACAGTGCGTACTGTTACGTACCTTTGTCTTTTGCATGAACATCAGCGCCCATCGAAAGTAAATATTCTACCACTGCAATACGATTATATCCTAAAAAAATAACAACAATTAAGAAAAGCGCATGGTTCATACTTTTCTTTCGCTGAATTACCAGCAGCAAAGTGTAATGGAGTCGAATGTCTGCCTTGAGCGTCACGACAATTAATCAAACCAGATTTTTCAGCTAATACACGCTAAAAAACGATAAAACTATAATTTATGCATTATCAAAACGAAATTAATACCTTTACAACTTCTAAATCCCCAGATTTTGACGCTTCGAGTAATTGTAATTCCAAATTGTTAGTTAGCTCTGCTTCACCAGTAACTAAACAACAAAAGATCAATGAATAATGGGTTTTTTTACTAAATTCTTCTATTCTCATTTTAAACTCTTAAAAAGGTTAACTGAATGTTGTGTAACATCATACACACTCTTCTCTTTCTACATGCCTGACGATAGCAATTCTTGCAAAACACTTGTAGCCATTTGTGCTGCTGTATAACCTTCTAACGATAGAATATCTGTATCGGCACCGTGAGCTAGCAGTAAACGACAAATAGCACTATGATCAAGTTTAGCTGCACGATGTAAGGCTAAAGAAAGAAAGAAAGAAAGAAGTCGTAATAGCTTCAATCTCAATACGCATTGCACATGCACACCTGTTTGTCCTAAACAATCAAGTTGATTAATCTAAAAAATAAAAATTCATAGGTAATATTCTGTAATACCATCAAATGATAATTATTTACCATAGCGCCATTTTTGAGCAATAATTCAACAACATCTGAATAATCGTTATCACTTGCGACGTGTATCGGTGCAAGCATACTAAACATAAGTGACATTCAATGCAAAACATATTTGTAATAAAAATACTTCAACGTCTTACTTACTCTTTGTTGACTTCGTTCACATTACTACCACGACGAATCAGGAGTTCGACAATTTGTTTACGTTTTGTGGATGTTGAAGTACATGCAATATGCTATAAAGATAAAAAAACCGAGGTTATCAATGCTGATTCTATGTGTATATGGTTTCACCCTCCTCTCACCAATGCAGTATCATTCGTTTTTACATGTTTGAAATTAACCATATCTGGCGATATGGACAAACATTTTTTTAAACGATTCACATCACCGTTCTTTGCAGCATCAATCATAGAGTAACCGTTATATTCCACTGAAAGAAAAAGAATATGAAGTTAGTTACATTGACTAATCGAATTTCAGAAGTGTATACATAATATTTTATCTCGTAATTCTATTGTTGCAGCAACGTCCAAAGCACTTTTATTATGACAGTTCGTTAACGTTGGATCCGCATTATTACTTAACAACAGCGTACAAACTTCGGTTCGACCTTTGGAAGCAGCTTCACTAAAAGATAAAAATCTATGATTTTGTATTGACAAGTCGTTCATAATACATACTGCAGTGGTGTGTACTGCCAGAGGTCACAAGAATTTACATCTGCACCAAACTTTAAATGATAATCAATTAGTAAGTATTATCATTAATCTTGTTTTATACTTTGCCACTTACTTGAATAAGAAGTTCAGCGACTTCGTAATGTCCGTATGATGCTGTAACAGAAAGATAACCCAATTACTTATTATTATTAAAGACAATACACTTACTCGCATTATGTAGAGGCACCAAGCCACCTTTGTCTTTTGCGTGAACATCCGCTCCGTGTTCGAGTAAAATTTTAACAATATGACTACGATTATAGCCTGCTGCCAGATGTAACGGAGTCGACTAAAACATATAGCAACAATCATTGATTTTCTATAAGTTTGTGATCTATTAAAGTTTTTTACTTTTCTTCCATCACTCGCATGACAATTGACATTTAACGGCGTGAGCAATGAGAATAACTTCTCTTCGTTTCCCGATCTTGCAGCTTCTAACAACTCATCTTTCCGATATTCACCTGTAACAAATTATAGAGATCATACACATTCTTTTTTATAATTATCAATTATTTATTCTTACCGGTCAGGACAGGACGTGTCGATGGATCGGCGAGATCAAGGGCTGTTTTCCCATCTGTGTTTTTGATGTTCCAATCCGCGCCATGTTGTAGTAAAACTAAAAAACCACAATAATTTTACAAAATATTAATAATTGCGCTAAATTTTTACCTATACAAACGTCGATCTTTCCTTTTGATCTAAAAAATACAAACACAGTATTTCATAATTTACAGTATCATCTTTTGTGTGCTTGACTCACGCTGCTTCTAGAAGAGGTGTAAAGTTCCAATTGTCGCGTGTGTTTGCATCCGAATGATGATTTAACAACAATTGCACAACCTCCGAATGACCAAAACTAGCTGCGTTATGAATGGGAACGAGTCCTCTGAAATATATGCCCAGTTAATAATTTACAAAAATTTAGTAAAGAATCATTCTGTTTACCCATCATCTTTGGCATGAACGTCCACACCTTCAATACTCAACAAATATTCTACAATATCTTTGCGTCCGAAACCTTAAACAAACAAAAATGTGTGTGTTATCAGCGATTTAAAGAGAAAATAAACCAACCCGCAGCGAAATGTAACAATGTCGATTTTCTTCCTAAAAGATCCTTAGCATTGACATTTTGGTTAGTTAATAATCTTTTAACTTTTGCTAGATCACCATTTCGACATGCTTCGAATAAATCTCTAGTTACTGTATCCATCAAACATCATGTTTATTCTCATCTATTTTACATCGGTATAACGATTTTTTCATTCAAGATTTAATTCTACAAGCAGAAGGCAAATGATGACAGTGAACAACATAACGTATCAGACAATATAAAGAAGAAAAGATTATTTAATAATGAAGTATCATGAAATCGCCATAAAAAAAAATCGTATGTGAGTAGATTCACAGTCCGATTGGTGAGTTTTCTCCATTACTGTGTATCTTTAACACCAACGCCGATTCAATGTTTTATGATGTGTATTTGAATTCAAAATCTCTCAATATACAAAAACGTATATATTCTATCAGAATTACGGTGTTGGTAGTATAATTCAAGAGAAACTAACGCTCGTGATACTGGAAAAAGTCCATTACTATACGTTTGACTGATACAATCACTTTTTCTAGTATTCCACCTTTCTTCCTTTTCCTCAGGCTTTTTTTATACGTGTCGCTGCATAAAATCTTATTTTCAGTAGTAGAATGCTAAATTCATGTGTATCTTTCACATTACAAATTTGAGTGTAATGCGGAAGTATCATCTTTCTCATCAACCTAAACCGGCCTATATCACCGACCGTTTGAAAGAAATAGGGTTGCATGCTGTAATCTGGATTGCTAGTTCAAAAGTTTTGAAACTGGAACCAGTAGTCTCTTATAAAAACCCTGTTAAAGAGCCGAAACAATGAAGATGAAATGTTAGCTCTTCATTTGAGTGAGGGGGAATAGATCGATCTATCCGTTGAACTTGATAAAACTGTATTTGATTTTGGTTGCGAATGAAAAAGTACACGAAAACAACATCAAACATTTATAAATATAAAGCGATTACAGTAAATGAAAGGAAAGAAAAGAAACAGTTTTGCATTTGTAGTCAAGTGGGAAAACGCAATTTAGTTATGTGTCACTACGATTCTTATTAGCTGCTTTGAACATTTACATCGAATGTATATTCATGATCACAGCCAATATATGAATCCGACATGAAATTGAGTACATAATGATGTATACCCGGTGATGGTGCAACGAAATCTAAATTCACTTTAGCTTTTTGATGTAATATTAAACGTTTAATGGATACCAACGAATTTGATTTTAATTCTCCAATAACAAGCCACCTATAAACAAAATAATACCGATAGAAACGACGAAAAAACACAACCAAAATAGAGCTTACCATCCTTCTTCTCGTTTTTGAGGAAAAAAGGGTGCAATCACCGGACCGACAACACTTGCACGTTCTAACGTCACGTTAACATTAACTGTACTTGATGAAATTATATTATCTTTATCAACAATTTCGTAGGTTAATTCAATATTTGGATAACGATTACAAAAACGTGCAGCGTCAGCTAATTTATCGACAGATAATTGTAATAAAGAAACACGATCATCATCTTGCATGTCTATCAAATCGAATACAGTCTCGATTTTCTAAATATACAAATTGTATAGGTCATTTTTAAACATATTTTCGATCCAAATATAGTCTAAAGTTAGTTATAGTTGCTAAAATTTGAACAAGGGATGTAGCTTCCATCAGCCAAAATAATTCTTTTGGCTGATGATCTCCTCACAAAAAGTTTCGGATTAGATTTTTAAATATCGAATGTACTCTCGCTGTATTAGATACCAGTCAATCTCTGCAAGGATTTTTGAGTAGAATCCTCCTTCCTTTAAGCTGTAAATTTCACGTACCTGTTCTTTACAACGTTGAATAATTTCTGCTGTAAAATGTGGTATTTGTCGCAGATATGACTCTTTATTCCACATCGCTTGTGTCAACATTTGAGCTAATTCCATAGCGACTAACGCTGGAGAAAGCCAACCATTCGAACTCAACACATCCACACACGCTTGAACTAAACGAATTGCCTAAAGAGAAAGAGTTATAAATTCAGGAGAAGAATATTAGATTTATCTTAAACAATACTTTATTTAAAATATCATTGACATCTTTTTGTAATTCAGTCGATAATTGTATACGAGATAAGTGAGCTTGTATCAACAGATTTGTTTTCACATGTGAGTCATTAAATTTAACATTATTGAATTTGTTTGGTAGATGCGTTGCTAGTTTTTTCAAAATGCTATCGTCATGATGCCGAATTGGTATATTCTCATATTCAGCAGCATTTGCCACAATATCTAGTAATGTTTTTATATTCGTTTTGGCTGATAATGATTTACTAAATAATTCTACAACGAATGAATAAACTATGAACTGAAAGTTATCAAAAAACTAAGAGAGATGTATGCTTACCAATGGTACGATAGTTAATATAATAATAAGCAGCTATCATGCCCAAATTCAACGGAAATGTGTTCATTTCATTTTCGATTGCAATGCACTAGAAGAAGAAACGAAGAAGTTCAAAATACATAGATCTCAAATGCATTATATTATTCAAATCAAACACAAAAGGAAACTAAACACTTACGTTCGATTTTTCCAAATGGTTTAAAGTATTTTCGACTAGTTCAGATAATTGATCAGATACGTAACGGTGGGAAATACCTAAAGAAAAATGAATTACTGTATTTAAGATCATTTAGCTCTAACATAGCACAAGATATGGTAACTACTAAGCTCTTCTAAAGTAGACGTTTGACACTGATGTTCAGATGTATTTTGTTTTAATTGTAGTTTCTCACTAAGTTAATCCTTTGATTGATACTTCTTTAAGAATCTAAAAAATTGTTTCTACCTTGCAAATTGTAATAATTTGGATTTTGTGTCATCCGTCTGTATAATAGTGTCCACGTTAAATAATCGATTGCATCTTGCTTATTTTCAATTGTTTTTGTTACAATTTCGGCGTTAAAATGATCTTGTAAACAATGATCAAGATGTGATTCTATTGGTAAAGGTTCATACAAGAACTTTTTGAAAAAATTCTTTTTAGACGATAAACACATAAGGATTACTTTTGCATTATCATATTGTGATGGTTGATTTGCTCGTCCAACCATTTGTAGTATATCAGAGATGGGATAGTCGTCATAAGCATGCTCTCGACCATTATAATACTGTGTATCCATGATGATAACAAGATACGAATATAAGTTGAATGCCCAACACATACTACGTGATACAACACAAACTTGTAATGCACCAGTATTGTATAACTGTTCAATAATCGAACGATCTTTAATACTTAAACCTTCGTGAACATAAGCAATACCTTGCGAAACAGTTGCTTTTAATATCTAAATGTTTATGCAAAAAATTTAAGGTGATGTGTTTATTTCCTTTACCTACTATACGAACTTACTTGATCTTCCATTTTTCCCAAAAAAGATGTGATATCATCTGTTGATGTGTGTAAAAATCGATCGGATTTTTGTTCAACAGTAGCAAATGTCAATAAATCAACCGCTGTCATACGCGATAACTTTCTTGATGGTACAAATATAATAACCGAACGGCCTAGTGAATAACGATTTATTGCCTGATAAACTGGTTTAGCCATGGCTATTAGACGACTTGCATTATGTGTTATGTTAAACTCCTATAACAGAAAAGTATAAGATACTCATTTATTTAAACACTCAATCTTCCTCAAAATTTACCTGAATATGTATTTCTAATTGAACAGGTCGAACATTTGGAGGAAAATTGAATGTAGCATTTGTACTACAACCAAGCCATTGTGCAACATCTTTGGCATTTGATACGGATGAGCATAGAGCTATAATACGAATATTATGTTCGATTTGTGAACTCATGTAACGCATACGTGAACAAATTATTTCAAGTGCAGACTGAAACAAACAAACACGACCGGGTAATGTACAAAATATCAAAAATAATAATATTGACTTACTCCATCATCGCTGTTAATAATATGTAAATCGTCAACAATAAATAAATTGACCTTTTGAACATTTTTTCGTTGTTTCCAACGACGTGACAGCATGTCCCAATGTTCGGGAGTAGAGATAATAATATCACCCTAGAAAAAATGATATTTTGATTTTATCAAGTAACTTCCACAGGCATCTATTGCTCTAAGTCAAGGCTAAAGTTGCAAAGGATCAATCAATAATTTCACAAAGATTCCATTTTAGAGAGGCTTGAGTTTCGACTGTTGTCAAAAAGTCAATCAAAAATTGAAAATACAATCGTAAGATACATATACTAAAGTCACTAAGAACTCAAACATTGCGATAGACTGAAGATTTTAGAATAATAAAGCAATAACTTACTTTAGCTATTAATTTTAAATCTGTTGCTGTTTCGCCAGTTAATAAAACAACTTTCTTTTCAATTGTCAAAAAATGCTTTTCCCAATCTAGACGTACCTACAAAAAGAAGAAAGTAGATTGATGTTTACACAAAATATGTACAATGTTTACATACGATTTCGGCTAGTTCTTCTTTTGGTGTTATATAAACACATTTTTGATCAGATGATTCTTTTGTTTTTTCGGACGAAAATAGTCGTAATATGGCAAATTCGGCACAAGTTGTTTTTCCCGAACCAGTTGACGCACCCAGGAATACATTTTCATCAGTATTATACAGCGTGTTGAAAACTAAAAGCAAACAAGTTCGTTAAACGTTTCATATTACGATGTACTCATGACTTACCTTGTGTTTGGATACTATTAAAAAACTTAAAATTATATAATTCTTCATATTTTGGATTGTGCAATGCATTAACAGCTAATGGTTGTAAATCAAGTAATTCAGTCGGAGATGATTGTTTTTCCGGTAATATTAAATGACGAAATGAAATAGCTACTTGAGTTTCAGATGCTAAAATCAGAAGACAGACTATTTATTTAAACTAGAAAAAGAAGGAAAACTGATTTCTACTCACCCATCCATTTATCTGATACAACACGTATAAAATAGTGTGGTGGTAATGGTTCAACAACTGGGACAAAAAATTTGACATAATGTTCATCTTCACAGTATTTTCTATTGGATAAAACAGCGATGAAAAGATGTAAATTCATATAAGAGGCAATATACTTACTTTTTAAGTAGAAAATATTCATGATGTAATAATACTTCCGAATCAAAATCTTCAACAAAAATCCAAAAGGCCTAGAAATCATGAATGCAATATCGTAAAAACGCAACAAACTTATTTTTGATAAAAAAAACACGTACTTCACTCATTCCATGCAGTTTATCATTCCACTGGAAATCTGGTATAATTTTTAATTCAACTTTTAATGTTTGACGTGTTATTGGTAAAACATGAACAGTTAATTCTAATTTTGGTATATGATGAATATATTTATAGATTATTTTATCAACTTTTGGTTCACCTATCAATTCGCCTATAACAGAAAAATGTGTAATAGAATAACGAAACAAATGAGAACGTCTGTTAAACTGGCTTTGATCTTTCTATTTCAGAATTAGTTGATCCGATGGTTCTGCCTGTTTTTGATGATTTTAAAATATATCATCTCATAATTACAAATAAATTCTTACCTATTTCATGTGCTTCTAAATCATAAAAGCGTTCCCACGCTATATTTTTCTGTTCAATTTTGTGTATAATTTTGTTGGATATTTCGGGAAATTGTCTTAATGGACACATACATTGCCACCTAGAACAATGAACAATGTTATTCACTTCGATTCAAAATTATGGTGTTCAACTTACATTCTTTTATCAATCATTTTCGATAAATTTAATGTTTTATTGATCATTTGTGCCCAACCTCGCTGCAACACGATTTCAAAGATGGCTCTCATCAGACGTCCGGCACTTTGTGTGATATAAACCATGTCAGACATCAACATAAAACCATCTAGTTTCAACTTTGATATATATACTTGTAATAAAACATTGATTTTTGCACTAGGTTCTTCAATACTTTCTATAATTGGTATAGGTACATGTTCTAGTAGTTTTTTTAATTCTACTTTTTCCTCTTCTCTTACTGTTATATTACGAAATTCTGGCGATGATGAAAAAACACGTAATAATTCAATTTCTGATAAGGTTGGTTTAAGTAACCGATTATACATGGTCATTGTTTCATAGGTGCAATAATAATGACTAGCAATACGACCATTTTCAGTTGATTGAAAGTTACCCGTTTTACGATCATAATATATTAAATGACATTTATCTAATTGTATAGCGGCACTGTGAATAAGATCAATACGATATTGTAACAAATATTTATCTAATAATAATTGTTCATTAGAAACACCGTATAAATGAGGCTCTTTGATCATTCGAATATATAAATAAGTAAAACTAAGCCATTCAGCAGCTTCTCGTGTATTTTGCACAGTGCCCAGGACAATTTCAGCATTTAAATTATCAACGATTTTCGATATCATTTGACTTTCGATAGGTAACTAAAACAAAATTGTTACAACTAAGTACAAAACAAACTAGTATACATAATACGATACTGAGTCAGTTAACTATCATCGCTTTTAAAAATCTCAAATATGAATAACATCTAACTTTCACTAACACACCTTTCATAAGTAAAATGATCACAAAATGTTTCCCCTCTTACTTAAATTACCGAAATGCTAAAAGATAATGATGACAATTTCATTCCATATTAGAAGAATAAATGACCTGTTTATGAACAACAACGCTTTTTGCCGAGATAAATGAAGCGCACAAAACACTAACCTGTTGATTCATTAATGATAAATAATATTGTAATTCATTATGACTTGTAATAAGTATACCTTCACCTTTTGTATCATACTGTGGACGACCAGCACGTCCGAGCATCTATTACAAAGATAAAAACTGTTAATCAATAAGACATCAATATTATGGCGATTGATAAATACGTACCTGCATGACATCAAGTGCACTTAACTGTGTCCAACGTCCTTTTTCAGAATTATAAACTTGAGTACCTTTGATAATGACGGTATGAGCCGGTAAATTAACACCCCATGCTAACGTTGCTGTTGATACAAGCACCTGAATATGACATTCAGCAAATAAATCTACGACTAGCGTTCGATCAACACGATTCATACCAGCATGATGAATTGCAATGGAATAGGGAAGGAGATCTTTCAACTCTAAATTCTAAAGAAGAAAAACAGATGACAGCAGATGAGTACTACATACTCCTAAAAATAACAGCATACTTTTGTTTTTTCGGCTTCCATTCGAAGAATTTTCATTGATGCTGAATCTCCTTTTGAAAACACACCGATTGTATTTTTTTCGAGACATGCATCACGAATAGCTCGGGCTGTTTTTCCAGTTTCTTTACGTGAATGAACAAATATCAAAATCTAAAAACACAAATAGGATGTAAAATTATTTCTTTTACTAAAAGTAGTAGAACATTACCTGATTTTTTCCAGCCTGTCCTATAGCTTTTTCATAGACAAGATCATTCATTATTTGATAACGTTTAATAGCTTTTTTTTCCGTTATACCAATATATTGCTGTTCTAATGGTACAGGACGATAACTATTATTAAAATGAAATAGACCTTCTTTTTCCACACGTAAGAATGTTGCAATATCTTCAAAATTTGGTAACGTAGCACTTAGACCAACAAATCGAACTCTGTCTTGTGTAACCGCAGTCGCTCGAATTACACGAGCAATAATAGCTTCTAATACTGGACCACGATCATCATGCAATAAATGTATCTCATCGAAAATGATTAATCGAACCAATTGTGTATATACACGTTCGTCACCCTTTCTCGTGATAATATCCCACTTTTCTGGTGTACAGACGATTAATTGTGTGTCATTTATTTGCTCTTTTGATAATTGATGATCACCAGTTAATTCAGCTACTTTAACACCATAAGGATTCAAACGCTAAAGAGAAAAAGAACGTAGATCAATGAAGTGAAGAAAAAACTTAGAGAACGAATTTTTTTCTTTTTGCTCATCTTTCTTACCTTTGTAAAATTGCCAACAATTTCTTGTACAAGAGAACGCATTGGTGCAATGTAAATTATTTTAAATTCGTCTGTATTTATTGAACCATCTGGCATTACATGTTTACCCATTTCACGTAGAATACACAATAATGCGATATTTGTTTTACCAGAACCCTACAAAAAAAAATTTAACCAGATTTTTGAATTTCAGCTTGAAATAGATAACTTACAGTTGGTGCACATAATAAAATATTTTCATCTGTTTCCAGTGTTACTTTAACCATTTTTGATTGAATACGATTTAATTCTTTATAATTTTTAAATGCTGGCTGTACATACCTGGGAAGATTAGTTATAAGAAATAATACCTATAATAGCACAAAAACATGAATTTAAGTGAAATAACAAGTAGAATAGACATAAAGAACATATACCTCATCAGGATCCAATAGCATTGGTTTTAATGATGGAACATAAATTTCTTCGTAACCTTTTTTCTGACAACTATATGAACCTTCTGGTAGTGTGCAAGTTTTATTAGCCATAAAATGACTACCTTGCGTAAATACAAGATCTTCCAGATTCAATACATGTTGTGAATTCGAAAACTAATCGACGAAAAAAAAAATTTGTTCAAATAAAATAAAATATATCTACAATTATACAAACCTCTGGGATGTTATCATCCGTGCCTATCATCTCTTGCTTCTGTTTACTATGTGCTTCTCTTGTATTTACACGACAATCGTGTTTATCCTTTAATGAAATTTAACATTTTTAGTAATGTAAAAGAAAATAGAAACTTTTTCAATTCAACTTACAGCCATATTAACATTCTTTTCTGTTTTCGATACTGCTTGTAATATTCGACATAATTCTGGATCACTTCGCATTTTATCTTCAATACATACCTTTTCTAATGCACTTTGTGATGATGCAAGTAATGTAGAGTATAAGACTAGAAAGAAAAATCAAGACATTAGATTGTCTGTTTTATAACAGTGTTTCAAAATAATGAAAACATTCTAAAGTGGACTAGAATATGGGGACAAATGCAGGAAATGTGGCAACTAGCGAATCATAAGTCTTCTAGGTGTGACAATAAATACTGTGGTCATTTATTTATGATAGTATAACGAGATCGTTTTAATACTAGTGAAAACATACTCATTTGTCGATTAGCACATAAAATTTTAATAAAATCGAATCGATCAGAACCCAGTAATAGAACAAGTTGAGTTTCTAATTCACGATCATTCGATGCATTCTGAAAGAAAAACAATATTTATATTACGTAAAGAATAAAATAAAACCTATCTAACTTTTAATATTTCCAAAACTTCTTGAGTTCTCGTTTGTGCCACTATTGATTCATTATAGATCGTATATAATTTTCGTTGTAACCAATATGCATCAATATCATTTGGTTGTAATAATTTACGTTGATGTGCTAAATCGTCATCACTTATCTAAGAAAATAAAATAAAGAAAAATGTATATTACTATAAAATATAAAGGAATAACAAAAGCAAATAATACATTTTTTCCTTGTATCGCATAATCCATTTTAGTCTCTTCTCCATCTTCATCCGACTCTTCGTCTCCTGGTATTTCGTCATCATCATTGCCTCTTTCAGAATCACTTCTTTCGAATTCAACGCTAACACCATATGTTTCATCCATTTCTTCTTGTTGTATTTTATCATCTATTGACCAATCGGTTATTGTCTTTCCTAGTTTCATTAACGATGTAAAACATTCATCAGTTATTTTACTACTTAATACTGTTTCGATTCCATGTTTACGTTCATTATCACGTACTTTATCATTTTTCAATAAACTTAATACTTCATCGGCCGCTCCACATAAAACATCGTGCGCCTAAATAAAGAGCAAGCAAATTTCAAAGACAAGTTTTTTTGTTTGTTTAGTGTACATACCTGATCACCAAGATATATTTGAATAAGATCTACTAATATCTCGTACGCTTGTTTTGTCTCTTGTGTTTTGGGCTGATACACAACACTTGATGTATTCTCTAGTGTATCGTCGGATAACAATGTTTCGCCTTTAAAACGTTTTGTGTCATATTTTGAATAGTCACTTTCCTTCTTTTGTCTTCTAAACAAATGCAAAATAAGTAAATAAAATGAGCTCATTCAGTGTATGGTTAGAATATTTCTAGCACCTGAATTTCTTTTCTGGTTTTGAACGTTGTGCTTTATCACCCATTTTTGTTCCCAATAAACGTAAGTCGGTTGGTAATACTTCACCAGCTGGTTCATCCCGAACACAAGGATCAGCTAACGCTTTATCATCTTGTAAAACAAGGTTCTAAAATACAAAAAAAGAAAATATAAAAGTGGTCGACAATCCAAAATGGAAACTCACCGATTTGTACTGGAACTGAGAACGACGTGCCACTCGTTCAGCCATGAGTAAAAATTAGGTATTTACTGACAGGATTTTAGTAGATTAGAGTGTAGTTTCTAGAAGAAATCTCTAATTAGTTCTGTTAAATGATTTATTATAGTGAACGAAGGAGAAAGAACAAAATAGAACTTTATGTACAAACAATCTTAGCCTATTATTAGAAAATGTCTTTTCTGCTCAGTTGAAAAATTAATCTGATGATATATCGACCGACAACCTGTTCTGTGGCATAGAAAAACATTTCTTCGACGATATTCATTGAATGAAAGTTTTGGATTTAATCATAATGGTAATGTGTAACGTTATCGTTATATAGACCACGTAGTGTTAATATCGAAACTAGCAAAGAAAATATAGATGAATTACTGTTATTTTATATTGAATAAAATAGATGAAAATGTGTGGTTCACCTCAGAATTCGAAAAAGAGTCAAATTTATTATTTTTAGATGTGTCGCTAAAAGTGAATAAAGATCATAAGATCAGGGACGCCGCGAAGTACAAGAAGCAGGAAGGGGATCCTCCACTTTCGGAGTAAATCGAAAAATTTCAAAAATGAGAGTGAATATCTGATTTGTCTAATAATACGTAAGTTTTGACATACAAATTGCAAAAGACTTCATGGGCTCAAGTTTTTTGCTATAGTTTCTGCAATAAAACTAATTTTCCATTTTCTAAACAGATTTCTATTCTAACTCGCAGACACTTAACTGTGAAAAACAACTAAATTATTCTGAAATCTGTTGCTGTGTTTTTTCGAATACGCTTTCCCGGTTTTAGTTGTTTCCATTAAGCCGCAGTTTATGTATGAGATATAAACTCCTTTAAATTTAAGAGTAAAACGTACTGATTCATCATCATAACCCGAGGCATTGATTAAAAACTTGAGCCTCAAGTTTTGACTTTGGGAGTAAACTCAGCGGACAAAGGCGTTTTTGTTACGAAGAGCCAAGCGTTTATACCGTGTCATGGGAAACTTAAGTCAAAGGGTGACTTAAGTCATGGGAAATGTAGTCATAAAGTTAAGACCGAAAACCTAAGTCGGACTTCAATCATTGACGCATTTTTTGAATAGATCAGGCATTTAACAATACAATTCGACGAAAACGACATTCTAAGGATTAGAGAATAAATATTTCGGTATTTTGCGGGTTTTTATCCAAAGTTTGTCACTGTTGTCAACGACTTTTAAAAAGTAAACAAATCGCCAACTTAAGTCTTTTTCGTGATACGGTTTAAGTCCTCGGATTTAAATCGGTCTTAAACTTAGATTTAAGTCCAAATTTTAACTTAAGTCAGACGTATTGAACTTTAAAAGATTTTTACATCAATAGATAGAGACATCCCCGATCTATCTACCTGTAAAGTGTCGTTTTATTCCCGAGTAAAACTGCTTCACGTACCCTAAAAATACTGTGAGAATTAAAAAGGTTCCCTACAAAAAAATATTTTCGCGGCACTGGTTGTGCACGGGTGCGCAGCGATGCCGAATAATTCTTTTTCTGGGCAACGGTGCCAGTAAGAATGTACAAATCTTGCACCGGTGCGCATCAGTGCCATTTTGTTTTGTCAATTTCTGTCTATATTAACACCCCAGTCTACTTCTAATATTTCGAATGTCTTTATTCCAACTTCATATTTTCCTTCTCATAAGAGAAGTGCCGAGGCAATGCCGCACGGCTTTGGCATGTCAATAGTGGCGTAACCAAGGTACGGCGAGGTACGGCGGCCGCCGTACCCACTGCAGAATTTGGCAGACACTACCTCCAAAAAGTTTTGGGAGGCGGTACGGCCACCGCCGTATCTATAGCCAGTTTCTGGTTACGCCACTACATGTCAATGTAGTACTGATAAGTAATACAAAATTCAGTATAAACAACTATAATAAAAAACTAAGTTAAATTGATTAAATAAATTTCAATGCGGCACCCATGCGGCACTGATTTTTACCAGTGCGGTACTTTTTGGGCAGAAATATATCGGCACTGGAGCGTAAGGGTGCCAATCGGCACTTGCTGGGCATGAGTGCGCATGGGTACCAGTGACCGATGGCATGCCATGCGCACTGATTTTTACCAGTGCCCCACTGGAACTTTTTTATAGGGTTGTCCAAAACTACCCCAGCTCAGCGGTGTCTATCCTCATCTAAGCATCTGAGGCCTCTCGTACCATCTAGAAAATGAATTTCTACAGCAAAAAAGCGTCCCACCTACTTGCGTTTGAGGCACAATGCCTCAAACATCCCACATGATAGGCGCCCCTGCCCACAACTTACTCTAACAGGAAATAAAATGCCATTTGGTTCTTGTTTAAATCCAAAGTTTTCATTCATCACCGAAGAAATGCTTTTCTATATCATATCATATATAGAACAAGTGACAGTACACATATCATAAACCGAGAACAAGTGAAATATTTTCGTGAAATGTATTTTAAACATAATTACGCAAACATAATCACATAGGTGAAATTACATGAAATTTTCTTGACTTTAGTCTGTCATTAGAGCTGCGACAAATAGCGATTTTCTTTTCTTATTCACGTTATATATAGCTAGTGTAGTGTTTCCCAATTTATTTTAGCCATGGAACCCTTTCATAAAATTTAAAACTTTGCGGAACCCCAGTAGTATTTGACATAATATTTGACAAATATTATTTAAGACTACGTAATTTTTTTTTATGTGGTGAAATTAATTTTTATCGTCTTATTTTTTTCTGGCGGAACCCCAGAGTTCCATAGAACCCCATTTGGGAAACGCTAAGCTAGTGTGTGCTCGCGTTACAATGTACGGTACATATATATGAAGACTGTTATCTGTGTAGTGTGATGTCACGTTTCCTTCTTTTCTTTAGTGTGTACGAACGTTATATAACGTTCGTACACACTAAGAAAAAGAAGGAAACGTGACATCACTCTATACAGACAACAGTCTTAATGTATATTATAGTCTCAGTCTAATTTCACGTTTTTTTCCGTGCCAATCTGACGATTTTTGACGTTTTTTGGATCGGACGAAAAAACGTCAGGTCGAATGAGTCATCTGCGACTGAAGAAACAAAAAAAACCGGTGGTGACTATTTTTGGTCAAGATAAGCTAGTGTGGATTTGACGTACTGAGGAAAAATAACCATTGCAGTATTCTTTG